AAGGGAAGGGAAGGGAAGGGAAGGGAAGGGAAGGGAAGGGAAGGGAAGGGAAGGGAAGGGAAAGGAAAGAGGAAGTATTTTGAGTGAAATGGAAAGCTGATCAGAATCAGAAGACTGTAGTTCTTAGTCGTGTAGATGCAGGTGTAATTGTCCTCAGTGAAGACACAATTTCACCCAGGAGTGAGGCTGTGAGAGTAAGAGTCTGCATTGAAGTACTCTGTTTTCAGGAGAGAGAAACCTCTGTTGTTTCCCTTCTGGAACAATTAGTATATTTATGTCTGCTACTGTTTTAAATGCTTGCACTTCACACACACAAGTGTCTCCACCTCTGTGTAACCTTTTATCTGTCAGCTCCTGTAGTGTGTAAGCAACATTAGTTGAGAAGAGGACAAACAGTTTGGATGTTTGGATGTTTTCTGCAATTTGCTTTGTAAATTATCTTTGCTGTAGCCAGGCTGGATGTCCTTGCTGTCCTTAGCTACCCTGCATGACTGCAGCCTTACATTTGGCTGAAACCCAGAGGCACTAGCATAGGAACCACAGGCCACTATACAAAGCACGTGGAAGGATGGAAACCTCCTGGGGAAATAGCTCACTTTCTGAGGCTTTCAGGGGAGAAGTGGCTGTATAGGATTCAGTCATACTCAATGAACTTATCAGCTGCAAATGTCAAGGAGAGTTCATCAAAAAAATACAACAGGCTCATTACTCACTACCTAGTTTGCAACTTTCAAAAACAGATTTAATAACTTGTAAATAAGGTAATAAATGGTGGATAAAATAACTGATAACATACATGATGGATGCCAAGTCGAAAATGAGTTAGCAATGCGCCCTTGTGGCAAAGAAGGCCACCAGCACCCTGGACTGCATTGGGAAGCACGTTGCCAGCAGGTCAAGGGAGGTTCTCCTTCCCCTCTGCTCAGTACTGGTGAGAAATACCTGTAGTGCTGGGACCAGTGGTGGGCTCCCCAGTACAGGAGAAACACGGTCAAACTAGAGAAGGTCCAGTGAATAGCCAGGAAGATGTTTAAGGGACTGGAGCATCTATTGTAATGGGAGAGGCTGAGAGCTGGGTCTTTTCAGCCTGGGGAAGAGAAGGCTCAGGAGGATCTCATCAGTGTATGTAAATAAATGATGGGTAAGTAAAGAAGATAGAGCCAAGCTCTTCTCAGTGGTGCTCAGTGGCAGGGCAAGAGGCAACGAGCACAAATTGTAATATAGAAATTCCACTTAAGCATAAGAAAAAACTTTCTTATGTAAGGGTGGTTGAACACTGGAAGAGGATTTGCAGAGAGGATTTGGAATCTTCATTCTTGGAGATATTCAAAACCCTGAAGAACATGGTTCTGGGAAACCAGCTCTAGCTGACCCTGCTTTGAGTGGGTGGACTAGATGTTCTCCAGGGATGCCTCCAACCTCAGTCATTCTGTGTTTTTATGAACTTGATTACAGAAAACCATCCATAAGGGAGAAACAGTTGTTCTCAGGACACAGACAACCCTAACGCACACTGTACAAAACAGTTGCCTTTGCAACCAAAAACTCTACATAGAGAAGACTGCTCCAAAGCTGTGTGTCTGGCAGCCCCAGCAACCTTGTTGCTGGCTATAATGACTAAACACCAGCCTAACTGTAATTTCAAAACATATATCTGCTTGACTGTGTCATGAACTGAATCTGAGTAAGTCAATACATACCAGCCCAGACTTTAGCCCCACAGTTTTTCAGAAGCACAGAGTATTTAGATTATCTAAGAGAATAATCAGGTTGATGATTGACAAGCCTCATGATCTAGAATTATCTACATGTGGAAGAGTTTTCTAGTAATAAATTGTTTTCTTAGTCACACCAAAAAATATGAAAGGTCTAATAGGAGTTGAAGTCAGATGAATCAGTTAAGACTAAAGTATATTGTGGTTTTGGGAAATAGAAGCTAAAAACACTGCAACTTTTTTTTTAGGCATGTATCAGACTTACCATCACATACAGTCTTTGAAAATCATATTACTGAAAAGGTGTGTTTGAAATCCAGAAACAGGTAAAACCTAGTGCAGAAATTAGCGAGCAGGAATCTGTATTGTGCTTGCTGGGAACAGCCAAAAAGTGTCCCATCTGATCCCATATCTCTGAAAATTCCTCCAGATGGTTATAGAAATTCCAGAAATATCCAGTTTTTTATTTGTCCCACCCATCCTCCAGTCCAGTTTTCACATTAAAGTGAAATTAGACTACATGGAGGAACAGAAACTGAAGTCATGAAGGTAGTTACTGCAGGGGTTTTGCTTGCTAAAGGTAACCAGCAGTGGAGGATCCAAAGGAAAATTCTAACTTAGCCAACCTGTAGGCCACTTATTCAAGGGTACTTTAGGTGCCTATGTGAACCTGTTCTCCTTTTAAGGTTTGCTCATCACATACTGGTAGCCAGGCTAATACCCTTTCTATATTTTCAGCTGTCTGTCCATATAATGAGTGCCTATTTTCTAGGTGGAGAAGTAAGTAAGCTAAGGTGTCTGGTCTGTTGTCATCTAAATTAATAACCTAATTTTAATCCTTGCTGTACACAGGCATTCAGCATGCCGTGCAGGGAGATGAGTTTCTGGTGAGATAAAGTAGCAGCCAACATGAACTTCTTCAAAACAAATCATGTCAAGCTAATCTTATTTTTATTTTTTACTCCGTTTTGTGGCTAGGGAGAAATAACTTACATTAAGGATCACGACCTTAACAAGATTTTCAGCAGTTTCTGGAAAAGTGATGTGAGACTAATTTGAGAAGCATGTTCTTAATGAAGCTCTATAGGGTAGATGCCATGATGGCTGACTGACCGTAAAAGGTAACTAAACATCAGTAGAAGGATGAACTGATGTGGTTCTGCATTTAGTCTTTTTGTTACTGGTGGAAAAGGCATTTGATTATTAAATTTGCAGGTTATATAAAGCTTGGATGACCATAAGTTTATTAGAGGATGGGATTAGAATTTAAAATATTCTTGACAAATTGGAGAAATAGACTGAAAATCAATTGATTAAATGGAGAAAAATACGATGTATTGGACTGAAACATGAATACTAAAAACCCTTGTATATGTTGAAGATCAATTGGACAGGTAACAGTTCTTTGGAAAAGCAATAAAGAATCATAAAGGATCACAAACTTTACATAAACCAGGAAAAGAAAAACAACATGCAAATTTATGTGTACAAGAATAGATGATTGGGAAAAATCCAGCCACTCCACTCTGTACTGGTAAGGTCTCTTTTAAGAAACATGTCCCAGACTGTATTCCAGAATTGAGGAGCATCTAGGTCAATCGGAGAGAGCACAGGATGCTAGAATGACAATAATTAAAGGCAAAGGAAGTTTTATAGAGAAACATAAAGGAAATGACATTGTTTAGCTTGAAGAATAAAAAGTTAAGCTCTGGAGCTTCCAGCATCCAGCTCTGGAGCCCTCAACACAAGAAGGACATGGAAGTGTTGGAGCGGGTTCAGAGGAGGGCCACAAAAATGATCCAGGGGCTGGAGCACCTCTCCTATGAGGACAGGCTGAGGGAGTTGGCCTTGTTCAGCCTGGAGAAGAGAAGGCTGCGGGGAGACCTGATTGCGGCCTTTCAGTACCTAAAGGGGGCCTATAGGAAAGATGGGGAAAATCTTTTTAGTAGGGCCAGCAGTGACAGGACAAGGGGTAATGGTTTTAAACTAAACCAGGGTAGGTTTAGACTAGATATAAGGAAGAAGTTCTTTACAATGAGGGTGGTGAAACACTGGAAGGGGTTGCCCAGAGAGGTAGTGGAGGCCCCATCCCTGGAAACATTCAAGTCCAGGTTGGATGGGGCTCTGAGCAGCCTGATCTAGTTAGCGGTGTCCCTGTTCCTGTGGGGGGGTTGGACTAGATGACCTCTAGGGGTCCCTTCCAACCCAAAACATTCTATGATTCTATGATTCTAAGGGAACACATAGTAACAGCTTTGTCATAAAGAGCTATGCAGAAATAAGGGGGACTTTCTCCATGTCCCTGGTAGACAGGAAAGAAGCAATTGGCCTAAAAAGCAGTAAGAAAAACCTAATGAAACAGATTTTCTAGGGAGAAAGGTAAATATCAATGACAGGTTTTTAAGAATAGCAGACTAGACATCAGACTGGCCCATCCTGCACTGGGAGAGCATGAGATTCAAGAAGATTTCTTGAAATCTCTTCTCACCCTACATCACTACAATTCCCTAATGGGTTGTAAAGATCCGGACAAAGACCTCATTCCATATTGAAGGCTTGTCTGGAAACTAAAGATGAAAGCAGTTACTTATCTAATGGTTTTATTACAGTGAGAAAGAGAGAAAGTTGTTTGCCTACCCAAAGGGTTACTAACCGCGATGGCAGCAGTTGTTCTGCCATTGATTGTTCCTCCTATTTTGCAGCACCGTGCGTTTAACACTCAATGCATCAGGTCTTACAGGATTCTCACTTCTCAGGGGAGGGAAATCTACAGTCCGTGTGCAGCTACTTAACTCTACCTTCTGCACTTATGAGGCCACTTACTTGATCTTTCCCTGTACTCACACAGGACATTGTTGTTGTGGTCACAGTGGGAGAGTCTGTTTTTTGTGTAGTTGGGGCTAACATCCTGAAAACCTCCATGCTGGACAGAGGCAGAGCAGTGAAGCAGGGGCTGCAATGTTCCAGCAGTTCCCAAGAACACACCACCAATGTCCGTGCACCAGCTGTGGTTTGTTCCTGTCTGGACATGCTTCTTACCTTTGCAGATAACTAATTTGCAGGCTCAGCAGAAGGGGAGCAGTTTCCCATTACCGTGTTCCTCTTGCATCTGGAATTTTAAGTGAACAACATAACAGAATCTTCTGCTTTCTTAAGCATTTTCTTCTCCTTTCTTTAATCATGCTGAGATTTCCTGTGAATACTGTGAGCTGTAATTATCATCTGCAGATCAGTGGGTATGCTAAGCTGTTTCTTAAAGGGATGTTTTTTTTCTGTGAATTTCAGATGACCAAGAACAAAATTATAATCACCTGATACTAAACAGTGCCACCCAGACACCTACACATGGTAAGAGAAAACAAAGAGCAAAATTACACATGTTGTAACTTTCCTCTGCCAGCCAGTAACATTTACTGGTATCAAAGTATGTTTAATGTTAATAGAAATGTTCTTATGGCAATGATGCATGAATGATGGTTTCCATTAACGTTAAACATAGGACCATATTTTTAAATCATGCACACAATGAAATATGGCCCAGTCTTTTATAATTTTACCTATCAACCTTGTGTTTCCCTGTGTCTGATTGCTCCTTTCTCCTTTCAATATCAGCAAGGTGCTGTCAGATTTAACCAGCCAGACCAGTAAAAATGATAACCAAAGTAAAGTCCATTGTGTCAGCCAAGCCACTCAACTTACAGTACTGCTTGTGCATAGTTTTAAGACAGGTTAGAAGGACAGTAAACATGTGGCAGGGACTCCTAAGCTGACATGATTTTGGCATAAAACTACGTGAACAGAGTTTGGGTTCATAGCTAAATCCAAGCTGTCCAGCCCATGCTTGCATAGGTCTGGTTGGGATAACTTACTGAAGCCTCTGATTCGCTGCACAATGTCTCTCTAGTATGCAGGATAGGTTAACACCATTAAGAGATTCAGGACTCCCCCTGCCCGCCTTCAAAAAAAGAAATGCCTGTGTCTAAAGCAGCTCCAGTGGTTGCTCTCACAGCCTCTCAAATCCCTTTTATTTTATTGTGGAGACGTGACATTTCTCTGACCCTAGGAACTTATGAAACCCAGAGCACCTTTCATGTCCCTACACCCACCACAGGGTGGAGCAGCACTGACCTATCCCCATAACCTGAGAAATGACACCTCAGGAGATGTCTGGGACAGCCTGTCACCACCATATAAGCTGTCTGGTCATCCCTCTAAAGGATGAGAGCAGCCCTTCCAGAGTTCCTCCAAAGCTTCCCTGGGTTTAGTCTTTGTACTCATACAGCTTCATATGTTAATACCCCTCCTGACAGTGCTCCTGCTGAGCTCTGAAAAAACACAATTTTCACTTGTCTTACCTCTGCACATGGTTCAGCACATTTATTGGCACGTCTCTATCCAGCCTTCTTGACCTAATAAACGTGGGGATGGCTCGTGTCATCCTTTAGCCAGTTTCAAGAGTTCAGACACTATTCATACGCCTTTGTTTTCCCCTTTGTTTCCACCATCTCATCCCAGCCTGGAGATGTTTCTTCACTTCCTCCATGGCCAGAAACCCTACCCCTCTCTGCTCAGCCCTGTCCCTTCAGGCCTTCTGCCCTAGCCCTCTCCTCCTTTTGATTTCTTTGGCCCCAGAGTATCAGCTGAGTGGGGACAGCATATCCCTCCCTTCATCGTAGCAATCACAGACCACTCAGTCAAATCACCGGTGATTTCCTGGCTCCATCCAAATCCAGACCAGTCACCACTACCCAAAACAGTGGTTCCTCCGTCTCTGTGCAATCAGTCCAACCTCTGAATAAACTCCCAGGTCCTCTCTGCTTTCTTCCTTCTTCTGCTGCTACCTTGTCTTTGTCTTGTCCTTGTTCTTCCCTGCACCCTTTACCCTTTGAATGTGATATATTCCTTCAGCATTTGCAGCTGGAACCTTCCTTCTCTGGGGAACCAGAAAGTGACGGGTAAATCTCATCTTAATATTCACTTTTTGTAGCACTGAATCTCTGTATTTGTTACTTTTTTTTTGTTCGGTGTTTGTTTTTAATTCTGAACTTCATTTTGATAACTATTCTGGAATTTATTTATTGCAAGTTTTGTGTTCTTGTATAGAAATTTCCATGCTGCTTTGCTGCAAAAAAGGGTGGGAGAACAACTGCCCTTGAAAAGTTCACCTAAAAGCTTTGGTGTTTCTCCTTCTTAGAGGGTGGGCCAGGCAGCTCCTCACCCTGCAAGTTACTTTCAGTTGTAAGACTACATTATTAGTGGGTTTTTTTCCGTCTCCCAAAAAACACAGGATAAAAAATGTCAGCTTTAAATCTGGCAGTAACACAGGACTATTTGTTGAATCTGAATTGACAGCCTCAAATGCTCTTCCAACTACTTATTTTGTTTACTTTTTTACTTTCCTGAGAAACAGAAAAGAAAAAAGATAGAATAATAGGCTTGAAATTGTATTGTCTTCTTCTCTGGTCTAACTACTTGTTCTTCAAATCCAGCACATGCTGGGTTCTGAGATCTGTCCCAGCAGAGCCAGATGAGCCCCGTTTACCTGTGTCTCTGCCCAGGAGTTTTAATGTAACTCCATCATCAGGTCCCTATTGCAGTCATTAACTCAAGGTAACACCACATGCTAAAACAGTTAAACTTCCCACTGGCTCCTGACAGCTGCTTTTCTTTTTTATGTACTTGAGAGACAAAAATCAAAGCAGATATACTCATTATCTTGGATTAAGAACTTCCACTTTTTTCCTCCACTCATTTCTTGTGTTTACTGTGTCTTAATAGTTTCGCTGTACAAAGTAACTCAAATGATCTGACTACAAATAAATGTATGATTCAGCATTATATTTAATTCCTAAGTTACCCATATGGTCATGGATGCTTTTGTTCATGATATTTGTGTGTGCTGTTGCTGGTGAGCTATTGCTTGGTGAGTCTAAAAAGATATTTGGACCTTTCAAATAAGGCATCAGAAGAGCTTGCAGTATTCATAACTGCTGCTGAAATTCTGAGACAGTTCAGCAATGCCAGAGGTTTAATTTAATTCCCTTCCTTGGTAGGACATGGTGTACATTTTCTGTGTGATTATGCAAATTTGTAGGTGGACATGAGATGTCTTTCTGAGTGCCACGTTCATGAGCTCTGTCCTTTAACCTGTCACTAGCACCCACCATGCAGTGAGACCATCTGAAAGGAGCAGAAGAAGAGAAAGAAGCCAGTGTGAGGCTCAGGACATGCCCTGTGTTGCACATGGCCTGAGTTCAGTTCACTCTTAACTGAAGTAAAACAAGCAGAGAAGTGTTCTCAGGCTACCAGGATAGAGCAAGCAGGACAGCGGTTGTAGGTCACTTGTCACCAAACAAGCAACGCTTCAGCTTGAACAGCCAGAAATCCCTCCCATGCCTGGAGGAGCTCCCCGCAGCCTCCCCAAGGGCTGCCTCACCCAGCAAGGATGCACTTGACCTGGTATATGTGAAGGGAAGCATGAGCTGTTGCAAACCAGAATACCTGTCAGGGTGAGAAGTCAGCTGCTGTGAGCTGGTGATCTCGCTCCCATCTCCTACCATGATAGGAACTTCATAGGTTTATTACCTTCTCCTATAATTCCCACTACAGTGAGTCTCCAAACTCATAAAACCCTGGGACTGAGCAGTGGAGGCTTTCCACAATCCAGTTGTGTCAAACATGGGGCCCAGGGCTCTGCAAGAGACCTCATGGAGGAGGGATGAAAGCCAAGTTCCCTTTCGCCTTCCTGTACTGGAAAGTCCTTTGCGAAAGCAGAGCAAATGGCACCAACCCACTGGTTTCCCCAAAGGTCTTGGGAATTGTAACAGGATCATAGTGTGTGGGAGTGATCCAGATGAGCAGTGGGGAAGCCATTGCACCACACGGTGTTCTGGGAACAACATGTTGTAACCCTATCAGCAACATTGTCTTTGTTCGGCTGAGAAAGGCAGAGGATAATCAACATCTGTTTCCATGGGCTGATGCTACCCAGTTGCCTATGTCTTGCTCCCTGCAGATGCCATGGTGATAGGTCCTCTGTGAGTGCGCGTAATGCCTATCAGCACCATATGCAAGCAAATCTTTGTATTACTGTGGCAGTTATTTTACCTGCAAAGAAGCAAATTAAAAGGGATAAGGACAACCTGTGTTCACAAGGAGCCAGGAAAAAAAGAAAAAGCGGATTCAACCTTAGCCCTCTGAGCTGTTCAGCTTCAACTTCAGGTTCCCAGGATTAAAACCCCAAGACCGTCTGTTTTAACCTAGCTTGGGGGGTTGCCGCTCTGGGTGCACAGTTTCTCAATGCAAAGGGTATGCCCATCACAGGGGGTTGTGTGGCCATGAGATCACTGGCGTTATTACACTGAACTCTTCCAATGCAGGAAGGAATAACTACTAATTAATGGTGGGATCGTATATAATCTGTTCTGTCAGGCTGCTATCTTTTAATTAGTGTAGTGCTGTTTGTAGCACAGTTAACAGGGAGTGAGAAGAAATCTTGCCTTTCTCCTTGCCTGGCTGGCGTAGAGGGTTTGCAGAGGGGTGAAATGTATGCCTGTCCTGGTTTTGGAAAATGTGATTGGTTGGGGAAGACAATTTCTGATGGAGATCAAGAGGAATGACCACAGGCAAGTGAGTCTGTCAACCCGTGGTCTGCAATACCAGGATTTAATTTCTGCTGCTGTTGAGGGCTCTGAATTAGCCAGCATGACTTTGAGTATCCCACATCCTAAAGAAGTTTGTTGATTTTCTTGTAGTCTCAGTTTATTCATACACCTAATTTGCTCCTGGGGCACTGAATGTCCCATTGTAGAGATATCTACAGTCCTTTAGATACCTCAGCCTAAATTCTGCTTTCCTTAGCTTTAGACTTTAGTTTTACATCAGCTGCAGATTTTAGCTGCAAATGAAAAACAATTTTTGGAAATGTAGTGATTTTGTATGTAAAAGGTAAATGTGAGTGCTCAGGTACTAGTTTCTAAGCATAACTAGGTTTTACCTATGAAATGCCGGTAAATATTTTCATGCATTAATTTATCTTGCTTAGCTATTGAGTCTTTATACAAAATAAGCACATGAAATTATTTTCCTATAGAAACATTAAAATGTGGGGGGGAAAAAAGGAAGCTAGAGGCACAAACCAGAACTGAGGCAGTGTAGCATTAGCTATAAGAGAAATATATGTTGACTGTCTGGGCTCAGTTTCTGTAGAGCTTATTACTTTATTTTTTACTGCTACTGAAGTTTAATCTCATTATATTTAGTGCATTAAATAATTATGCTAACCAAAATAGTCTTGTATAAACATTTTTTACATCTATATAAATAACAAGCACATTGCTAAATAATAT